GACCCTTCCATTGCTCGCCGAGGTCGGCGAGCCTGCTGATGAGGACGCTGAGGACGTCCTCCCTCCTTCCCCTCGTCCAGCTCCTCCTGCCCCACACCTTGTGGCCGACCAGCATGAGCCGACGTCGGCTTCCGGCAATGAGGGGAGCAGTGGGGCGTCGCCTGTGGAGCCGGCCAGTGGCATCGCCGGTGGCCGACGTGACGTCAAGCAAGTCGGCGTGCAAGTGAAGTCACCGACGACAGGGGAGTAGCCGGCGGTCAAGAAGCCGCGGACAGGGGAGCAGCCTGCAGTGAAGCCGACAGGGGATCTGTCGACGATCGGGCAATCGGTAGAGGAACCGACGACATGGGAGAAGTCGGCTCAGCAGCTGACCTTGGTGCAGCAGGCCGGTGAGGACAGTGAAGCCGACGTCGACGAAGGGGAGCAGTCGGAGGGCGAGGAGTGCACCAATAGCGACGTGGTGGAGGTCACCGCCGAGAAGCCTGAGCTACGACGTTCAGGCCGACGCCAGGGGCCGCCTGAGCGGCTAACCTACCACGTCTGCCTCCCGCCGGCTGCCCTCACCACGCTGCTCGACGACGCCGAGGCCGACGTCGACCTGCCCGAGCTCGACCCCGACATGCACGCCGACCCAGAGCACCGCTGGGACATTGCCAACATGATGGTGGAGGAGGTGTTGGAAGCTGGAAGGGCAAGGTGGTGAAGGCCGCCATGGACGAGGAGATTCGCAGCCTCATCGGCATGGTCACCTGGGAGCTGGTCGAGCGCCCACGCGGGGTGAACATCATGAAGAACCGGTGGGTCGTGATGACCAAGTACCACGTCGACGATACAGTCGTCCGGGAGAAGGCGAGGCTGGTCATGAAGGGCATCACGCAGATGTATGGCGCTGACTACGAGGAGACGTACGCACCGGTCAGCAGCTACGTCATGCTGAGAATCTTCCTCAGCATCGTCGACGTCCTCGACCTCAACCTGATGCAGCTCAACATGAAGAACGCCTTCTTGCAGAACAAGCTTGGCAGGATGCTATACATGTACCACCCGAACTACTACGACGACGGGACTGGCCAGGTATGCAACCTACTGAAGAGCCTGTACAGGCTGAAGCATTCGCCGCTGCAGGCACTCAACGACGTGCTGGTCAGCGCTGACTAGAAGAAGAGCCACATCGACGAGGCGCTCTACTTCAAGGTCGGCGATGATGGGGTGGCTTGTTGGGTGCTTGTCTACGTCGATGACATGCTCGCCGCCAGCAGCAGCGCCGCAATGCTGAAGGAGCTGAAGGAGCTGCTGGAAGCCGCCTTCGAGCAGCGCGAGATCTCGCCGATCGTGAAGTACCTTGGGCTGGAGATCGTCTGCGAGGAAGCTGTGGCTGCACCAGCAGAGCTACGTCAACAAGCTCCGTAGGCGTTTCATCGACGAAGAGCAGACCGGGCAGACCGAAGACGCCGGTCTCTGTCGACGCCTATGCCGAGCTGACGTTCGACAACGAGGAGGCTCAGGAGCGCGAGGAGGAAGAGTACCGTCAGAAGGTCGGGTCGCTGCTATTCGCAGCAACAACGACGCGGCCGGAAATCGCCTTCGCCTGCAGCAAGCTGGGGAGCGGCCTCACGGTGAGTAGCGACCAGCACTGGCGCGAGGTCGACCGCTGCCTCGCCTACCTCGCCGACACCCATGACACCGCCCTGGAGTTCGGCGGTGGAGCAGAGTCGCTGAAGTTGGTCGGCTACGTGGACGCCGACGACGCCGGCGACAAGTGTCGCCGGGCGGCTGCGTGTTCGTCTTCGGAGGGGCCGCAGTCTCCTGGTCGAGCCAGCGCATCAAGCGTTCGACGCTCTCGTCGACCGAGCCGGAGTACGTCGAGGCCACGGAAGCCGGCAAGTAGGGACGCCGACTTCGCTTCCTTCTTGCAGAGTTCCAGCTGCTGGACGCTGGGACGCCGACGGTCCTTCGCGCGGACAACAAGTTGGCCATCACAGTCGCCGATGGCTTGGGGCTGCAGGGCAACCTCAACCACATGGAGCGGCGATACGTCTGGCTGCAACACATGGTGAAGCGCGGGAAGTTCGCGCTGAGGTATATCCCGACCACCAAGCAGTCCGCCGACTTCCTGACGAAGGCGCTGAACTTTCCGGCCTTCAGCCGGTGCTCCGTCGCAATCGGCCAAGTACGATTGGCCGACGTCGGCGACGGTGACGACGACGTGCATCAGTAGGTGCCATGCCCTTTTGCACGGCTGTTGCGGTGACGGCGTGATGTGTGTTGTGTGCACGCGTACGAGCTATTCTCCGAGTAGTGCTGCCGTGTGGGGTGGAGGCCCAAGCGTGAACGTGGCAGGGGAGTGTCAACGGGAGTTGGGTGTTGGCCCCGTCCTTGCTTGGGCAGAGGCGACTACGTGGTCGGGTGTGCGGGAGGTGCAGCCGATTGTCTGCAGTAGGCGACGCCGACTTGGACGAGCTGGTCGACAGACTTGGTCGACCCCCATGGGCCACTGCTAAGCTGCTGACGACAAAAAGCCGGCAGCCGACTTCGACCGTGGTCGACGAAGGGGTTCGTCGACCTAAGAGGGGCGCTGACTTGGGAGGGCGCCAACTTCGGGAAGTCGACCTGGCCAGGTTGATCTAGGAGGCGCCGACTTGGTGGCGCAGACCTGGGAGGCGCCGACTTCATGGTTCCGACTTGGGGAAATCGGCTTGTTGTGGTCGGCGACCAACAGTCCTGGTCGACCAGAAATGGTTGACGTGGGGGTGTGGCCGACTTTGCGAAGTCGGCATGAGGTGGTCGTCGACCTGGGCGGTCGACGGACACATGGAGCAGCACTTGGTCAACGTGGTTGCACTTGGTCGACGTGGTTGCCCGGTCGACTAGGTTACCCGGCGACGGGGCTCTGCGGAGGTACGCGACGGTCGCCGAGGTGGTTCTGGCGAAGCCGACCTCGGAGGTGGTATCCCAAGGTCGACGTGACTGATCAAGCGCAGTCGTTGACACGTGGTCGGCTTGGCGTCTGCGTTGGTACGTGACGGGGCACGGCACGCCAACCATCTGCGAGCACCTGCGAAGCGGGTGCGCTACTGTCATGCAAGTACAACACTATGCAGCCGCCTTGCTGCAGCGTTGGCACGCCCTCGACTTGGTGCGTTGCGCTGAAGCGCTGCAGACCTTCCCTCGACAGAAAGTCGCCTTTCTGCAGCGCTGGAGCGGTGCGGACTTTGCAGCGCTAGAACGTGGTCGACCCTACTGCGGTGGAGGTCGACCTGCCAGTGCGTTAGGCAAACTTGCATCTAATATAATCATTGTTACCAATGTTGTTGTTATCATTGTTGTGAACTTTTGCTAGTGGAACTTTTGCCAATTTTCCCCGGAAATATGTGCGTGGAGATAACACGAGCAAACACGCAAGAAACACTTCGATCATTCACACAACCGTGCCTTCCGCCGTAGTCTAGCCCCCCTTGTAGAGTCTATCTCCACAATTCACCATGTTCCCGTGATTGTAAAACTTCCCATTCTCTTTCTAGTAAGTCCTCTTCATGCACTCTTTCCTCTCGTAAGTTTCCTAGCTTGCCAGCACCTAATTATGAGAGTGCGCTACGATGATTCCTTCGAGAATGCTAACAAATTCTCCTTTGTTTATTCCAACAAGAACCAACATAAAAAAAAATTCTGATTTTGATTGCAATGAGAACAGCAAAGATGACAAGGATGCTGGACTATTAGGATGCTGGTGTACGAGGTTGATTGAGTTGAGGTGCAGGCCATTTTCCAAGGCTTGATTAGAAAGCTGCTGTGCATCTGCAGGTGTTAACGTTTGGCTTGAAATATATAGAACTTGTAATTTAACGGAGATTTAAGTATTTCAATACGCAATAAACGAGGCTACGCACTATCATAAATAGTACGGCAACATTCGCCGGACCTGCTGGTTGCGTAAGGCCGGCCGCAAATCACCGCTGTGCACGAGCAGCCGGGCTTGGCACCCTCACTGAGGGGTAACGGCAGGCTTGGTGGGAAACTGGTTTATCACGGGCAGTCTCGGGCCAGGTTGACGAAGCTCAGGGTTAGGTTTGCCTTGTCATGCCTACGCGCGTCCCCATGTACACGCACCTAGCAGTTTGTGTGTTTCCGTGGCACAGTGGCGTCGTGTTGTGTGGCTGTATGGGAACAGAACCACTGTGGGGGAAAGCCGATCCAACTGCTGCCATTACTGGGCGGCACAGCAAGCGATAGGATAGCATTTTTCCCTTCATGCAGAAGCGCTCATTCTCAGGGGAATTCCGAGTCTTCTTATCGGTGAGCAAGTCTTATCGCTGTCGGTAGGTTAACACTTGAAGGTTCTCCACGGCGCAGGGCGGAGGGCCGAGGCGCATGGCGGAGGGCGAAGGCGCGGAGGGCGAAGGGCGGGGGCGTCTGAGGGAGGGAGAGGCGTGCCGCCGCGTGCTAGATATACTCTCGGCGCATTTATTCTTGAAAATGTCCCGCGAGGCAGCGAGGGTTTGCACGAGCGGCGGGCATCATTTGGTGCCTCAGCGCCTGCGTGTTGAGCAGTGCGAACAAGCACCGTAGGCGTTGCTCCCACATTTGGTGCCTCTGCGCCGACAGGCGTTGCTCCAGCCTACCTTTCGACCGTTTTCACGGCCCAAACTCTGGAGCTTCGTATCATGTGCGGAACCTGGGCGACCAAGCCACACATCATGAGCTCCCCCCCTTCCCTCCTTCTCACCCTAAACCCCAGGAGGTAATGTCGTGCGGAGCAACAGTGGGCGGCACTTTCCGGCGTCACAAGAGTCCTCCCCAAGTCCTTCTAAGTTGGCGGCGGCGCCGGCGCTGGTGTTGGCTGGGCCAGTCAGGGCCGCGCAGCGCAGTGCGGCGGCTCCCTCAGACTCCCCTCCGCTCGCCCTTCTCCTTGCCCCTCGCGTTCGCAGGCTTTCTCAACGAAGACCCCATTTGAGCTAGCGCCGGTGTCAGTGCTGCCTCCATTTGAGCGAGCACTGGTGCAAATGGCGCGGCAATCCTGTGAAATGGGGAGGGCGAGGAGGCCGTTGAATGCGACGGGAGGAGTTGGAGACGGAAAAGGGAGGCGAGGGGTGATGGCGAGGAGCGGTGGCGCGGGGGTGGTTGGGCGGGTGGCTGTGATGGGCGTGGTGGCGGTGATGGCGATGGTGGGGAGCGACGAGGGCCTCACGCAGGGCGGTTGGGCGCAGCGCTGCTTCTGGCGCAGCAGCGGCTGCAGCCGTGGCTTCCTCCCCATCATGATGGCGCACGCTGCTCCCCTTGACCCCACCCAGTGTGAGCGTGCGATTGTGGGAGTGTGGGAGAGTGAGCGCATGTGCGCGCGCGTGTGTGTGTGTGTGTGAGTGTGCTACCAGGGCTTGTTATCGCATGCACGTGCCACTCGCATCATCGTCACCTCATTGCCTGGCTTCACCGCAACCTCTTTTCTGTCCCATCATATGATGAGGCCCTCATTGCTGCGTGAACGCAGTCATTCTGTGCTGACCCCCATTGCTGCACTGACCCCCATTGCTGTGCTCACCCCCATTGCTGCGCTGAACCCCATTGCTGCGCTGACCCCCATTGCTGCGCTGACCCCCATTGCTGCGCTGACCCCCATTGCTGCGCTGACCCCCATTGCTGTGCTGACCCCCATTGCTGCGCCGACCCCGGGCCGTTGCCGCGCCGCGCCTCACCTGGTGCCGCCCCTCCCTCTGCACCCCGTTGCTGTGCTGTGCTGCACAGGGCCGGGGCTGCGAGACATGAAGGCGCGGTTGGGCAGTGCGGCGTCTCGCATCACCGACACCTGGGTGAAGAGCAACACTGACTGCGGGCAATACAACAGAGTTACCTGCGACTCTGATGGCTTCGTCACAAGGATGTGAGTGCTTGGCATTCCCGACTCATAAAGCGCTCGCGGGATGAAGTGTAATGCCTGCGTGGGGGCTTACACGAGGGCTGAGAGAGGCATCCCCTGTGACTCTGAATAACCCGCGTCTTGGCCCAGTGGTCTTCTAGCGGGGTGTTATATGAGCGCTCTTGACAAGATGCGCTCATTCTAGATTGTGTAGAATGGACTGGCGCTCAGTCATGAGTTGGCTAGTCATTGCTATGCCGGCCTGTTTCAGTGATTCAGCACCTTCCACTCTGCAGCCTCACACTCTGACCCTCCCCTACGTATGGATGCATGCTCTGTATTGATCAGAGACTTAGCAGAGGAAAATTTATCAGGCTCCCTTCCTGACACCATTGGCGTCTTCAACAGCCTTGAATACTTGTACGTATTCTTTCGTTATTATTACTTGGCAGTTGCCGCGCACGCTCGCACTTGCCGCGCGCGCTTGTTCTTGCCACGCGCGGAGCAAGGATCGCCTGCGCGCTGTTGTGTGGTGCACACACCTGCTGGATATCGCGAGGTGACGCGGAGTGGCGGGGGTGGCTTATCACCGCGATGTGATGGGGCGCTCCCCTTAACAGATCTACTCCTTGATTGGAATGGAACTAAGGCGGATCTTATGTCATCGCCCAAGCCTTAACACTTGCTTGCTTCGTGAAAAATTTCTGAAGTCATGTGTGACGCTAAGTCGGAAAAAACGCGTTTCGCGTTTAGTATGCTAGCGTCTATACGCAATACGCTGGCTTGGAGGGGGTCTGGTACGCACAGAATTTGCTGGCCCGGGCAGGTAAAAAAAAACCCAGGCAGGTTAATGCTAGGTTAAGAGATGGAAACGGGAGCTGCTGTAGTCGTGGAGGTCATTGTCGCGGGTGAGATAAGAAAGGAAGAAAACGAACGCAGAGTTTCGAAAGAAAAAAATGGCATGACATTTGGTGGGGAGGACGAGCCTGGTTGAAGTGTATCCATTTCGCGACAAAGTGGAAGGGATTGGTAATTGATGGGGGTGGAGTGGGTTGTTGAGCGGTAGATAGGAGGGGATGATCCACAAACGAGTGGGTTGTTACTATCGTCACACGAGGTTCACACGAGTTTGTTCTGCCGTTATGTTTGTTCCAACAATGATGTTGAGGTGTGACGTTAGTCACTAACGAACGGCAGAAGTACAATAGCGGCAGAACAACTGCGAGTTGGGTGGATCTGTAATCTTCTGAGGGCGCGTCCCCTCCCTCGATCGATCACAAGATCTCCGTGAAATACCGAGGGCACACCGATCGCAGGATTGGGGCACGATTGGTAGGAGGTGACAGCAGATTTGCAATCGCAGGCCGGTTTCGAGCCCAGGTTGACAGGATTGTGAGTGCAGGGGGGAAAACAGATGCATTCCCATAGATCGTCTAAAGCCCAGATCGGTGTGGGCACTAAGGCACAGCGATCGTCATCGGCGGAGGTGACAAGATCGTTGGGCACCATTTACTGTACATTCGTAAGCCATCTCGGAAACTGGTTACCCTGTAAATTGCGATGCTACAGTCGCACTGTAGCATGTCACGGATCGATCCTACGCAGGATTGATCGAGGGAGGGGACGCGCCCTGAAAGGCCGACATTTGTCGACCTTTCAAAATCGTAACCCAAGGCACACTCCGACAGGTATGGGTATACCCGAACCGAACACGGAAATGCGACCTGCTCTCGGGCCGGGTATATCCAACCCTAGGGGTCGCCGATACCTGCCTGAATACCACCGGGAAGGGCACCGGGTATATATGGCCCGCTAGGGTAGTAGGGGGCCTACATATGGATCCGACCTGGCCAAAAGTTGGGTCGGGTCGGGTATACGGTATACCGGCCATGCATAGGCCAGGCCCAGCTTGACGATGAAGTTGTTTTACGGCAGAAGAAAAAGGCGAGGTTATTTTGCACCTTGTTGCAAAGTTACAATGGCAGAGAGCATTGGGTGAATGGATCCACAGAGAAGTGGCACATGATTTTCGCACACATACATCTTATCACCCTCTTGTGCCTTGAATCTCTTTCTCACTTTCTCCCTCTTCACCGGTGTTCTAACTTCTACCCCTCCTCCCCATACCTTCTCCGTTCCCACTCAGTTCTATAGAGGAAAACTATTTATCGGGCTCACTCCCATCTACCCTCTCCAAACTCGTTTCTCTAAAGCAATTGTGAGATGCCCCTTCGATCAGCGAAGCCTACTGCTTGTATGGCCGTGTTGCCGCAACACGCACACACGCAGCTCCTTATGGAGCCGGCACAACACAAAAACCGAAGAAAACATTGCTGCAAATCTTCTTGCATACGTTTGCATGCCTTGCACGGGGGCGTGAGCAACGGTCGAACCCAAACAGGTTTGACGTCTACACTTTTGAACCTGTGCCTTCGTCAAACCGAATTCAAAAAGTCGTAATCAAACATTGTTTTGCAAAACTGAGGTTCGACTGTTCGACCAGACAGTCAAACAGTGTTGATTTGGGGTCGAGCACTAACAGGTTCGACCCGAACATTTTTAGCAAAAAAGAATCACATGTTTCGTTCGACCCAAACAGGGGTTTGAATGTTTGCTCACGTCTACTTGTATCCCCTTTGCATGCCTTTGCATCTCCCTCCTTGTATGCCTTGCCCCCCCCACCGCACAGTGACGCCCATTCCAACAAGTTCAGTGGGCCCCTGCCTCAGGGCATCGGCGCTCTCACTGCCCTGCAGATACTGTAAGGCCCTCCATTCCTCTCACGCCCTCCCACTGCCTCCCGCTCCCTCCCCCCCAACAATGTTTTTTCCCCTTAAGCTCGTCCAATCGTTTCAGTTTCTTGCCAGGTTCTTGTAGCACTCTTCCACGCAGCTGCAAGCTCACACCCTCCAATTGATGATGCCCAGACCAAAGCATACTCGCATCACACACAACAGCAGAAGTCGTCAGGCATTAAGGTGCAGTATCTGACAGCATGAGGCTCAGGCATTGCACATCTCCTTGCCATTGCACGTTGACTCTTTATAACAGGAATTTGCACTACAACCAGCTGGAAGGGCCAATCCCATCATCCTTCACCCGATTGACTTCGCTAATCTCATTGTAAGGCGGCCTCATTTTAAGCCCAGCAAGGGCACTCTGACAGTCAGAGTCTGACTCCATCCAGACGTCATTTCCTGCTTACACCGGCCAAGCAACGGCATCCACACTCCATCCCTCCGTTCAGAACTTCATGGTTTTAGAGAAGTTGGCATGAACCAGCCTTAGGGGGTTGGTGCGGTACAAGTGCAACACACATGCATGGCTTGTATGTAGGCAGGGTCAACCCTGGCCCTGCGTGCTTTTGAAAACTTGGCGCCCGGTCTTGAAGGGCCCGTGAGAGGCTGATTCCCCACTATTCCGGCCCTTGACCTATCTCCTTGTGACAGCTGAGTCTGGCCCGGGCGAGGTACTGCTTGACGACGACAAAGTCCAGGCCAGGCCAACCCTCCAGCAATTTCTGTTGTTGCTCTTTTATTATGTAGTTTAAATAGCACTATTTTTTTGACTGTAAAAAGCCCGTGTGTGTCGAACTTCAGAACGCAGCAGATACCGCTTCTTTGCTTGGATCAGCCCGTGACGAACCGGTTCGTCACGTTACACCACCTCCTTTCATAAGCGGGGCTGGCTCTCGCCATTGACAGGCCAATTCGTCATGGACTCGTTGCTTCTGTCTGCCAATGCGTTGCTCCTGTCTGTCATTGCGCTTCTTGCTCCAATGGTCTTCTTCACGACAATCATGCAAGGAAGGTCTCATCTGAATCAACCTGCTTCATTTCTGAAACTCTCATCACCCCTGGATCAGCCAGATCCACAACAACCAGATTTCGGGATCTCTACCAGGCGCGTTTGGGAGTGTCTCCAAACTAACGGTTTTGTGAGTTCCTCTTCTCATACCATCACCGTCTGCGCCTCCTCCTCCTTTCGAGCTCCCTCTCCCCCTCCACACACGAGTCATGGCCCTCTCTTCTCTGTGTCGCTTGTTGTGATTGCCTGCTTTCCAGGGTCGTCTCCTGGGAGACATGTGGCTGTCATTCACCCCTTTTTTGTTCCTTCTGCTTCGCACCCCATCGATATACAGCCATCCATCTAAACTATAAGCAATGCATCACCATTTTTTTCTCAGCATGTGTTCCTCCTTTCTGTAAAACCCCAGCTTTGTTCCGTGCCTTATTGCTCCAACCAATCACCCCAGCCGTGCACACGACAACCTCATATCGGGCCCCGTGCCATCGACGCTAACAAAAATGACTAGTCTCACTTACCTGTGAGGCTCTTGCATTGAATGCGCCCATGTCACTAAGTTGGCGAACTCCAGCTTTAGACATGACATGAGCATAGGGCCAGGTTAGGGGTTGGCCTGGGAAGAACTGGGAGGTCTCGTGGCACGGATGGGGCCAGCCAGGCGCCGTCAAAATTTAGGTGAGTCGTATGCATCACTTTCGGGTCAGTCTTGTTTGTTTGTTTGTTTTTTTTAGTTTTCAGTTTTGTTTTTGTTTTTGTTTGTTTGTTTGTTTGTTTGTTTTTTTCCTTCTTCTTCTTCTTCTTCTTCTTCTTCTTCTTCTTCTTCTTCTTCTTCTTCTTCTTCTTCTTCTTCTTCTTCTTCTTCTTCTTCTTCTTCTTCTTCTTCTTCTTCTTCTTCTTCTTCTTCTTCTTCTTCTTCTTCTTCTTCTTCTTCTTCTTCTTCTTCTTCTTCTTCTTCTTCTTCTTCTTTCTTCTTTTCTTCTTCTTCTTCTTCTTCTTCTTCTTCTTTCTTCTTCTTCTTCTTTCTTCTTCTTCTTCTTCTTCTTCTTCTTCTTCTTCTTCTTCTTCTTCTTCTTCTTCTTCTTCTTCTTCTTCTTCTTCGTCTTCTTCTTCTTCTTTCTTCTTCTTCTTCTTCTTCTTCTTCTTCTTCTTCTTCTTCTTCTTCTTCTTCTTCTTCTTCTTCTTCTTCTTCTTCTTCTTCTTCTTCCTTCTTCTTCTTCTTCT